TGTTTCAGTAATTAGCGTTTAAGGTTGATGTTTCCTAATGATTAAGTATGAACAAATTGCTATTAACGGCATATTTTAAATGAGGAATTTTAAATTTAACTCAACTTATTGTTATAAAAGAGTATGTAGATGTGCTTTCATTTTTCTTAATAATTGAAGTTAAAACTGAACTTCTTAAAATAAAGTAGTGTCATTTTCGCCAACTAGTAAAACATTTTTATAAGTTTAAAATGGAATTTTTTTTTAATATAATGGCCAAGAAAGTTTTTTTAAAACTATATTTATGAACGGAAATAATGTGTTAATTTCGTAGTTTGAAAACTAATAACCAGAAAAAGTTTAACTTATGATCTCCGAGATCTGTGGACACAGTGACGTCATGAGGAGGGAAATCGTAGCTTCAACTCTAAGAGCGGAGTGAACTAGACCTTCTATTCTCTTTAGCCCTGAGAGAATGTAAGCAACGAAAGATATTATGTAAGCCTAAGATAAATTACCGTAAAATACAGATTAGCACATTCCTTGCTGGATCACGTGATGGAATTTATATATATAACAACACTCTCTCCATTTTAACGCTATTATATATATACACTTATAAATATATTCAGACGTACTTATAGTGTGCCACATTGCGAGGTTTTTCCCTCTATGTAACGCAAATGCGGGCTAGTTTAATCAAAGAGTCTTCCACGAAGGCAAATTTCTCCAAATATTTGATAAAGGAGTTGCCTTGTCTCCAGGATTGTGTTAAAATTTACAAGACAACGGAATTGAACATAAAACCAAAATTGCGTCAGCTGTTCAGCGTCGGACATAAAATAAAATAGGAAATCACGCAGATGCACAACTTTTGACTTCAAATGAATCTACCAGGATAATCATATTTCTTGGTCATTTTGTAATAAGAGTTACTTATTCTAAAAAAATCTTCGAGCCATTTTTTCCTTTTTTGGGGGTAAGTGAAACTAATATTTTTCTTTAAAATATTACATCTCGCAATTTATGTAAGCATTAATTATTTAACGTTGTGTTATAAATAAAAGTTGAATTGTAAGAGTATTTTTTTTTATATAATTAAAGAAATTCTGTCAAACTTTTCTTATAACAATATCACTCTATTTTTTAATATTGATTTTTTTTTAATGAAAGGTCAAAGATTTATGTGTTTAGAAGAAATTTAAAATTATCAGCTTCTCCTAACTTTTAATTAGAGCAACTTAACTAAAATATTTATAATACACAGGGACCGATCAAGACAAATTCAGGCCCAAGGCCCACAAAATTTTCGGGGCCCCTAACAAAATATTTTGAAATTAAATTTCTGAAGAATCTAATCATGATTCAAGAGAAACATTCTAAAAAATTTTGAAAGTAGACAATTGAAGATTATTTTTCTAAGATAAAGTTTACACATGTAATTAAAGCAAAATATAAAACAACAAAACAATGTTGAATGAAAATAAAAATATTTTGGTGACCACAAACAATTGAAATCAATGATTTTTTCTAAAGTCTCTGATTAGCTTAATTATTTTAAAGATTGCAGCCTTCTATCTACAGTTTTGCATATTTGTTAAGTTCTTGTTGACACTAATCATTTATAAAAGACTTTGGGAATATGCATTCTCCTTGCATTTGCTTAAGCCTTTGGAGTAAAAATTTCACCAATTAAAATTCAGTTGTACTTTCAAAATTGATTAGTGTAATGTTTACACGAGCTTGGTTTATCACAATATAAAGAAAATTTGAAATAAAGAATGTCTTTTTTGAGATAAACTGTTTCTTTCAGTATTTTTTTTAATGTAATATTGTGGACTTTTTACTAACTTTTGAGGCCCCTCAGAAAGTGTGGGCCCTAGGCCCGTGCCTAGGCGATAATCAGGCCCTGATAATACATTATAAAACTATTGAGTTCTATTTTGCCTTTAGACTTCATGCTGCAAAAAATATCCCATTTAAGAACAAATATATGCTAGTCTAATTCATAAAGAGTTTACGACCGTCATAAGATAACACCCATTTTAATATTATCATACTATTTTGTATAAATTATAGATTGGCTCATACGAAACGATTAGCTTGTGCCTGCCTATTTGGCCGCTTTGTCTTGAAAGTTAAAACACAAGCGTTTTTAAATGATAGTTTCATGACTCTCAAAGTGAAAATTATTTATTTTTTGCTGATGAAATAAGTGGCTTGCTATCTATTCGAAACTCTTAAAATATTTTAAATAGACAATTATTTTCCGATATTAATTAGACTCTACATGCTTGAATAAAAATTTTAACAAAAGTATGAAATTCAAGTAAAAAAATATAATTTTTTTTAAACAGTGGACTCAGTACCGTGTTCTTCATTATTGTTCAATACATCAGTTATTATACTTTATTTAAATTACAGTTGATGAAATGCTCCTGCTCAAAGATTGCAACCTGGAATTCGGCTAAAATGTACCGTTCGCGTACCCCTAAACGCTCATAGATGAAACAATTTTTATTACAGATTAATATTAGTACGCCATGGTTTACATACAGAACTCAGATGGATTATTTTTCTACCTTTGTCTACTTTTATGGTTTTGCTCGGAAACTTTATCTGGTATATACGATACGCTCATTAAAGTTTTAAATTCTGAAGGTGCTTGTGTTTCATCAGCAAAATAAGTTTTGTCTCTTTATTAAATAAAACTATTGATGCCACCACCATCGTTTCAGAAATTTTTTACCGAGAGCACTTTTCTCTGTCATAACTCAAAACATATTAAATGAAGTTTTACACACTTACAAAAAAATATTAAAAAAATCTTTTATCAAAATGTTGGATTAGTTGAGTTGTTATACGTCAAAGATAAAATCGCTGTTTTGCGTCGCGTAATTCAGTTTGGTGAAAACTGTTAATAAAAGAATTGTGATTGTTTTAAATTCAAACGCTACTATTGTTAGAGAAAATGAATAACTGGTTTCAGTTTGTATTTCGAATTAGTTTTAGAGTTATTAAATAGGTCATATCGGCTGTATTTTGGATTTCTCAGTGAAAACTAGTAGCAGTAAAATTATTATTTATTGCAGCCACTTTTGACTAAAAAAAAATCAGTAATTTAATTTTCAAATTTAAAAATTGACCTTTTCTAGCGCAATTTCCGAAAAGTTAAGTAATACGATTTTTTAAAATTTATTTGGTGAACCAAAACCAATCATCTATTTAAAGATTTATTTTAATTAGAGGACTCGACGCTAATATTTATGTAAATTAATATAGACGTATGTTATGTGGACGTCAGATGACATCAGTAAGATTCCTGCTTTTTTCTTTTAATTCATTTGCAAGGAATAATTTTTCACTTCCAAATTTTAGTTATTTGAATTTGTAAACATATCTAGGTATATGTGATATTTAAAATTTTCCTCCAGGTGGAATTTGATTATTTAAACGTACTTACTTACTAATGTGGAAGAAAATAGTTAATTTAACATTAAATTTATTTCCAATTGAGTTTTTATTTTGTTTTTCCAATTTGAATTTTTTTTTATTCTGAATTTGTGTAGTTTTATATTTCATTTTTATAGGTTACATTTAATAATCAGGGATGATTGTGAGCCCAAGTCAAAATTCCGGAAAATTACTCGAGTTAAAAAAAAAAGAAGTTTAAATTGAAAGAAATTTAAACAAGGTTTTTTGCCTTTTTCTCAATATTTTAGTTTACTTAAAACATATATAAAATTCTACACGGAATGACGACTCTCTATGATGACCTGGAGAAGTAATTATATTTTACAATATAACTTTCTTTCTTTAGTTAATGATTATAACAGCTATTTACTGATTAAAAATTAATATTAATCATGAATATAAGCTTATAAAGTATCTCGCTCTCC